GGAGGCAGGTGCGTGCAGCAACGACCTCAAGAGAGGCCAGGTGAAGTCCGGGGGGGGAGGGGAGGGGGGGGGGGAGAAGGGGGTCCTTTGTACTAAAGTTTTGCCAAAGTTGAGAAACTCTGCGATAGACTTTATTTCCCGGTGAATGCATGAGGCTTAGGGGTGCCCATAAGTTGTCTTCCACCTTGTGTCCTTCGTAGTATGTAGGACTATAACCCTTGTCCCTGATTAATACAAGCAGGGACTGAGCGGGGAACAGCAGCAGTAGGTCCTTCTAATGCAGTGTTTTTCAAACTTGGCAACTTTGAAAAACATGGCAACACAACAAAAACACAAGCCAGCTGTGTGGACTTCCACTCCCAGAATTCCCCAGCCAGCATGTGCACGGTGCATTTTGTGTTTTAGAATAAGAATCATGGAAGTGGAGGGTTTGGCCAGTACAGGGCAAGGGAAAGAACATTAATTCATTGCAGAGGCATTTCAGAAACTGCAGTGGATGTTAGGGTGCTGTGCCCCTAACCCCCTTTCTTCGTTCTCTCTTTCCAGGTCAAGCGTTACTACCCCACTGAGGAACGCAGCTATGCTAAACATCTCCTCTTCATCTTCCTGGCCATTGTCTTCTTCCAAGTCTATAATGCAGAAGAAGATCTCCTTGCTGGAGCCACACTTGAGGACAGAACATCTGGCTGCTCTCTGCAAGGCTGGGAATCTCAGGGCCAACCTGCCCTTTTGGAACAGCTCGTAGCCGCAGAGCAACCCGTTGTATCGACATCCTTGTTGGAAATTGTGATGGTGGCCAACACGTCTGACTGGCACTGGGAAGAGGACCGGTCATCTGAGTCTGTGCTGGACATTACCCACTTTTTACAGCAGAATCCAGCTGCTTTCTGAAGAGTGACCCCTCCCACCAGAGGGAGAAATAGACCAAAAGCCTAGTCTGGAAAGTCACAGGGAGGGACTGCCATTGTCAGGGCAAGACCCTGGCTTTGGAAATGTCTTTGTAAAGCAGGAGTGAAGGTGCAAATAGGGGCACGGTGCTTGGACACAGCCAGGGCGTTCCAGCTCGGAGCTTGCTAAGCAAGGCTGACGTCATAGAAACTTGAACCGAACTGACATGCATTATGAAACAGGAAGGAGACATTCCTGTTACTGCAATAGAAGGAGGAGAAGGGTGATATTTAATATTTATTAATAATAATAATAATAATAATATCTATGTGTAATTTTAACTGACTTTTATTTATGTGTGAACCTGGGAGATAGTACGGGAAATGCTGCTCGTGTGCTGTGTGTCAACTTTCAAAAGAGCCCTTGTAATGTTTATCTCTCTCTCTCAAGGCAGAATTATGCTACAGTTTGCGGGCCATAAGTCTCTGATAGGAAGAAGGTCTGCTTTTGAAATCAAGAACTGTTTTATGATTTATACTTTGGAGAAGGGGCAATGTTTTAATGAAGATAAAGCTATGATTTGCTGAAATTCTGCAGATAATGTTGTGGTGTTGCAATACGCTTGGTGGGGAAAAAATTATGGGACGGGAAAAAAAAAAAGAAAAACTAACAGGTCAAAAGAGAATGTTGTCATTGAAGCTGATGGATAAGATGTATCTTAGCTTCTTGATAACAAGCACAATTAAAGTTATAGTAAAGATGATTCTTTTTATTCTTTATTTTAAAAAGTCTGACTGATTTTTTTTCCCCTGCTTCGTGTATTAGCCAGAATGTTCCTTCATTGTAAGTGTTTGCTTCCTATGTAAGTTTGCAAGTGGTGAGGCAGCCACACCAGCATTTCCAAAACTAGTAAATCACTTTTGTTAATTGCACTTTACATGTCAACACTATTCCAGATGAACTGGCTGAACTCTGTATGTTCTGTGAACAAATCAATAAAAGTTTGACGTTACAACCTTTGCCTGGCTGGGATTTATGCAAGCAGTGTATGGGAAGAGGGCGTGTGGTCTGGCCTTGGAGCTGTCATAAACCTTTAAGAACTTTGAGAAATTAAACCACCACTCCCCTGCCCGCGTCCTGCATTCTATATTCACAAAGTAACCCCCCTCACACATACAAAAACTACATATAAAAGAAGAAAGAGACACAATTCAGTCACCATTAAGCCAAGCTCAGAGAACACCAAGAACCCAGCAGTTTAACCCTGAGTTACATTTATTTTCGACATTTAGAACTAACGATATGAATGGGGTCTGGTAACCAGCACAGGGACCAACGCATTCTGTATCAGTTGTAGGTTCCAAGTCATCTTCAAAGGCTGCCCCACATAGAGTGTGCTGCAATAATGGACCCATATGGCAATGAGTGTGGGTTACCACCACCAGGGCTTTCTGGCCCAGATAGGGCCACAGCTGGCCAAAGGCACTCCTGGCTATGACTGACATCAGCTGTGCTAGTAAGGGCTATGAATCCTGGAGCACTCTTGGTTCATCCAGGGAATGGTAAGTCCATCTAGTTCCATCACTGGAACCAATGTTTTTGGCAGCCCAGATATCTTTGGAAGAACAGTCTTGCTAGGTTTAATCGGAGTTTGTTTTGCCTTCTGTCCTCACAACCTCCAGACTGGATCATTATTGGAGTTCTAGTTACCCCACCCAACATTATATCCTCTGCAAATCTGGTATTTCCTTTATTTCATGCAGAAATACTGAAGAGTAGAAGACCCAAACCAATTACTGTAGCATCCCCCCGGCTCGATACCTCTCTCCAAGTTGATGAGGAACCACAGATGAGCACTTTTGAGTACAATTTTCAAGACAGCACATACACCCTTAATCTTCATGCCATTCAGCCCACATCTAATTAGCCTGCTAATCCAAATATCATACAGTTCTCAAATGCTTTGCTGAAACCAAGATATCTTTCCATCTCTATGCATATAATAATCTCACCGCAATAATCATATATTGAAATAATCTTCCATGACTCTTTTCTGTGTATCCATCAATCCTAAAATGAAAAGCTCTGGCTTCAATTCAATATTAATCTTTAAAATCCTCAGTATCAATGTATGTATTTGAACCCAATTTTCTTTAGCTTTTTTACATGTCCACCAAGCCTTATAAAATGTCCCTTCATGTTCACATTTCCAACATACAGCTAAAGTGCCTTTATAGATTCTAGATAATTTTTTTGGCTTCACGTGCCAATGATACATCATTTTATAAACATTATCTTTAAGATCATAACATAGTGTAAATTTCAACCCTTTTAACCACATATTTTCCCATTGATTCATCTGTGTGTTATAACCAAAATTCTTAGCCCACTTTATCATACATTCTTTAACCTGTTCTTCCTCTCTTTCAAATGTCAACAAAAGTTCATACATTTTAGCAATCATATGTTCATCAGTGCATAATTGTACTTCAAATTTTATCTTACTTTGCTCCATATCATAAATCTTTTTGTCCATTTTGAATCTTTCTGAAAACTGTAAATAGGAAAACCATTGACAACTATATCCTTCTGCTATTAGTTGCTCTCTTGATTTAATCTTATATTTCCCTTGATGGTTTTCCAATAATTACTAGCACGTCAACCATTTGTCTTGTCCTGCTATTTCTCTTTTGTGGAATGTTTCTTGAGCTGAGATCCACAGAAGTGTTTTTGGGCACAACCTGGATTTATTCCATATTCTCATTATGGCATGCCTAATAAAATGATTTTTAAAATCCACATTAATTTTAACTTTATCATACCATAAGTATCCATGCCATCCAAACCTCAAATCATGATCTTCTAACTCTAAAAGTCTCTTGTTTCTCAGCAACATCCATTCTTTCATCCAGACCAAATAACAAATTCTCATTATGGCATGCCTAATAAAATGATTTTTAAAATCCACATTAATTTTAACTTTATCATACCATAAGTATCCATGCCATCCAAACCTCAAGTCATGATCTTCTAACTCTAAAAGTCTCTTGTTTCTCAGCAACATCCATTCTTTCATCCAGACCAAATAACAAGCTACAAAATACAATTTCAAATCCAGTAAACCCAGTCCTCTTTCTTTTGCATCTTGTAACACTTTATATTTAACTTGTGGTTTTTTTCCCTTGCCATACAAATTTAGATATATCTTTTTGCCATTGTTTGAATGGTGCATCAGTTGTCAAAACAGATATCGTCTGTAACAAAAACATCATTCTAGGCAAAACATTCATTTTTATCACAGAGATTCTCCCCGACAGTGACAAATTTAATTTCTCCCGCCTTAATATGTCCTTCTTAATTTCATTCCATGCCTTAACATAATTATTTTGAAATAGCTCTCTTTGCCTAATCCTGTCAGACCCAAATTGACCCTCCCTGCCCCAGACAAAACCCTCTGCAACTCCATTTAAAGAATAGAAGCCTCCTCACCTGCTCACAGATCGGCCCAAGGGCATCCCTTACAAAGGACTTACAACCTAGAGGACCGCCAACCTTCCATCCTCAGCCAGCCTGAGGGCCTCAACATTCCATCTCCTTTAACAATGGACTTCTTCAGCTCTGCTGCCCTCCTGAAAGGCCCATTTTGCCTAACAGTACAACTAACCCCAGGTACACAGACAAGGACCTGCTAGCTTCCCCCAAACTGGCCAGCAAATCAGATCCTGGGATTTCCTGCCTTGTAGCGCTCAGCTTCTATAAAAATCTTTGCTTTTCCATTGTTCAGGGTCTCTCTTTCCTGTAAAACGGGTGTCCAACCTTCACTGCAATAAACATGGTTCTTTCTCCTCAGTGTTGTGTACTTCTGAATTTGCTATGACAGTTAGTTCCTTAGAATATAATTTACCTGGAGATTCATTAATTCAAACTGGGGATTCTCTGACTCTCTCTTTATTCATTCAACTTCAACCCTACCTCTTCTTTCTGCTTTCACAATCTCCCCACAGGACAAATGTTGTTGGAGAAAACCGAACCAAATTAAAATTGAGTCCTTTTGCCTTTTCTTTATTACCATTTCCCTTCTTCACTGAGCACTTATTGTAATGATTCTTTTTTTTAAAAAAAGAGTCTTCTTTTTCTTTTCTTTCTTTCGTTTATTCTTTGCTTCCTTCATCTACCCCAGTTCATTCTTGATCTTATGTTTTCCTGACACAGACTCAGCAGTTCCTGCTTAGTGTTATCTACTCTTCCTTGCCAAACCATCCCTTTTTTATTTCTTCTTTCTATCCTTTTCTCTTATCAGGCCCTCACTAAGCCTGTGGTGTATCCGCTTGCTTTTTTCTCTTGTCGTCCTTTTTTTTTTTTTGCCCTACCAGAACTATTTGCAATTGCACTTTTAATATCTCATTTTTTTGAGTAACTCCCAGTAAGTTTTAGCTCCTTTTCCCATGAACTTCCCCTGCCCTTTGTTATTATTTCAAGACTGATAAGATTGTTCACAAATCTTTGATGAGGGTCATCAAATATATTTTTTAATTTAATAAACTTTAGTAAACTTTATTTATTTGATAATCTCTAAAGATTCATGCAGGTGGTTCATAAATTTTCAAAGATATGTTGATTTCTTTCTTTCTTTTTTAAACCTGACCTTTTATGCATATAGTATATTGTTTTCTTTAGTAATCCTTTCCACAAATTTGGCCAGAACAGATATTAAGCTAACGAGGCTGTAACTTCTTGGATCTCACCATGCTGGAAACTTTTTAAAAACAGATTTACACTAGCTTCTTCCCAGCGCTCTGTTGCAGCAACAACTCTTATTATGTCGTTTTATCAGAAGATGAACATTTTTGTGTTTGAGATCTTTGACTGTTACTTTTCATTTTACCCAACCAATATCATTTTGTAATCTCTAGTGAAAAATATATGTTTCAGCTCCTCACACTCCATCCATGAAAATATCTATTCCGGGCCTCCCTATCTGGCCCACATCTTCTGCTACGAAGAAAAATGCAAATAATTCATTCAGCTTTTCTGCAATTGCTTTACCTACCTTTCATATTCCTTTAATTTCTTGGTCATCAAAGCATCCAACGATCACTCTGACTGGCTTGTGTTGATTTTATTCTTAGACTGTCAAGTTAAGGTCTAACAATACCCCTCTTCTCACTCTCACTTTGGAGCGATTACTGAGGACCAGGTTACGTGGATAAGTCACACAGTAGATAAGATGCTTCAGGATAGAAGTTTCCTGTGGAACCTGATGGATTTTAGTTTCTGCTTGCTTCAATACATCAGAGAGTTAACGCCAGCATCAGTCAAGCAGTGATGAAGCCGCTCTCTTGAAATTTCTTCAAAATAGACCAATTGGAAGTCTACCTAGATGAGGAACCCATCAGGAACCAGCTGTCTTAGATTCCCATGACATGAACCAATCAGAGATCAGCTTGGCAGGTACAAATACAAGAGCCCAATCAGCTCTAGTTCAGTTGCCTGTGAGCTGATGATAAATTTACTACAAAGTAGCTCACCCTGCCTCTGAAGGTGCCAGCCACAACTGCCGGAAAAACCTCAGGACACCAGAAAGCCACTCCATGGCCATTCTGCTTGAAAGCTCATCCTGGCTTCCTGAGACAAAGTTCAGTAGATAGCAGACATAAATT